CAGAGCGCCGAGTGCCAGGCGCTGCTCTTATTCGCCGCCAGCACGCCGCTCCAGACATATGATATATTCGCGCAAACGGACCTGGAGCAGCTGCCAGCGGGTGAGTATGGGCTGCCAGTTGGTCATGCTGATTCTGATAATCTCACCCGCCTTGTCAGCCGAGCACATCCAGACGCAGATGAGCGTGCGGCAGATCTATGCGCGCACCGAGGGCGAGCTGCAGGATGCCACCAGCGAGCACTTTACGGCCGTGCTCTATGCCCTGGTCACCAAGTTCGATCTGGACGGCCTGGCTGCCAGCATCAGCAAGAAATGGCAAGTAGCTGCTTGTGTTGTCTTACCCGAAGATACCGATATAATCATTAATCTTCCTTCCGTCTGCCAGCAGCAAGGCGTGCAACAGGCTCATCCCGAACAGTCGCAGCGACTGCGACAATGAGAGCTGCCTGCTGGAGTTCTCGTTGGGCCACAGCGGCGCACGTTTCGAGCACTTCTTCAACATCAACATACATCTGTCCGACCAGACGGGCACGCTGCTCGAGACGCGTCTCAGCGGCGGCGTCGCGGAGCATTTGCTGGGCCTCAAGGCGGACGCCTTTCCGCAGCTGCCCGAGCCCAAGAAGACGCAGCTCAAGTGGCGCTTCCTCTTGAAATACTTTGAGGTCAAACTGCTGGTGAGGAAACCAGCGGCAATGCGCAAGAATCTGGCTGTTATCGTGGTGGACATGCAGCTCATTTCGCTGGCAAGGCTCATTGAGAAGATAAGCGTTTTTTAAAGCGCAGCTAGGGCTATTTATCAAAGCTAACTTGGGCTTGAAGCTTGAATTTAAAGAAATGATTTGTTATATATTAGTGAAAGTAGTTATCGTCTTTAAGCATATAATATTTAAATTAAGTCGTAATTTATATATCTTATAACTGCGTTGTCATAAGCAGCTGAAGAAAACTTAAGTTAAATTATATGCAAAGCAATGTTAGATCTATAAGGCTATCATATATATACAGAAACAAAGTAGGGCATATGTGTCTTAAGGAACATAATTGAAATGTTTTGTGTCTCATCAAATAACTTCATTTCAATAATGTTAAGCAGAAGGACACATCTTAAGGCAATTATCCTCGAATAAGTACGGCTTAAAGCCTTCAAACTTACGATTCAAATTAAGCAACATTCAATTATAATTATGTATCTAGAGTATTTGCTGGAAATCAAGCTCATAAAATAACTTGTAAGAACCAAATCCAAAGGCCATTAAATGTAACTACAAATAGCTTTGGGATTGGCTTTACAAGATATCTCCAACGAAATTGATGAAGTTCTTGAAGTTATGTTTCAAATGTTTATATAACTCGTTAAAATGTTATCATCAAACAATCTCTTTTTTTGTAATAATTTATAAAATGTTTAATTATTTATTTAATAACAACTAATTTGCTGAACGAAGGCGACATGATTCTCTCATAAGACAACTTAAATCAAGTTAAAAAGCAAGTACATATCTGCAAAAAGCTTAAGTTAGTTTTAGGTCTGCAATCGAATATATCTGTTAACCAAATTTAAGTTCAAGTTAACAATTGTATTAATTAAATTGTAATTCATATTCTAATTGTAAAGAGAGCAGCTAGAAGTCAATATCTTTAAGTACTTAACTTAACGAAGTGCGCGAAAGAGTTGGCAGAGAATTTAGATGCTGGTATTATTGGTAGACCAAGACTTATGATATTTACGAAAACTAAAACTATGTTAAAGTATAGATCAGAGCAGGAGAGAGAGAGAGAGAGAGCTGTCTTTTGTACTAGGTAAATATCTAATATAGACTAGCATATCGCGTCTTATAACAACTGAGAAGGCCGAGAAGACTTTGCTGACTCCGAAAAGAAAATAGATAGAGAGAGAGGTAGACAGTGAGAAAGTTGTGAGATGAGCATAAGTAAAAGTCGAGCAGAGAGGGAGAGAGAGAGAGAGAGAAATCTACATAAATAGCATCTTTATTTCGCTTGGGTCTGTTGTTAATATTGTTTACACATAAAACGTTGCAACTGCAATATATATAAATAGTTATACAATCCAATCCAATACAATACAATAGAATGCAATGTCATATGCTACCATTTGGTTTATCTAAATTACATAGGCGCTTAAACGTGTACTTCGAAAATGAATTACATTTTGTGAACAATTACAATTGTTGTATTATAGTTTTGTTATTTTTTGGTGCTGTTTACATGCTAAGATCACAATAATTCGACTCCAGTTAATTACAATGCGACATCGGCACCAAAAAATTAGCGTGTATCTTTGCTCTGTTTATGGATTAAGTTTCCGTTTGGGTTTATGTGCGGGGAATGTGCTCCGAGTGGAACAATTTGGTAACGCTTAATACTGAGACTATGCAAAAACAATACGAATATCTATATAGAATATTATCCATCATATGCTAAAAATATAACAAAACGCATTTCGCTAAGCTACAAACAAAACAAAACAACAAATCGCATGAAAAAGTAACAGCTAAAGGATGTGCATTTAGCAGTAGGTTTAGCTTGGGTATAGAAGCTACAAAGTTTTACAGCTTTTGTACAGGTTCAGTTATTTGTTAATCCTAAACTCTCAACGTGCTCTAATTAGTTAAACAAAAGAAAATAAGAAAATTATGTAGAACGAGAGCCATGCTCTAGAGCGAGCCGGACATAGAGTTAGAGCGAGAGAGCGCTAGAGAGCATTATAAACATTTGCAACTTATACGATAAGAAATCAAAAAAAAAAAAAAAACAATTAGTTAATACAATTAAAAACAGAAGGCTCCTCTCTACTTGGAGCCCGCAGCGCCATGTGCCGGATGCGTCGTCGGATGATGATGCGCATGATGTAGATGCGTTTGCTGTCCGGAGCTTTGGTGATACGGCGACTGCTGCGGCGGCGGCTGATGGTAATGCTCCTTGGGATGCGTTGAGCTGCCGGCGGCTGACGATGCTGCAGAGCCCTGATGCTGGCCGGCATGATTCGAGCTGCTATTGTGACTATTGTAGTTGAGTGGCAGGGCAGCGACGGTGGCCAGTGCGGCGGCAGCTGAGGCAGCTGCCACACCGGCGGTGGCAGTGTTCAATTTGCCACTGCTACTGTTGTTGACCCTCAGTTGACGGATTTCGGGAAAGAACTCAATCATCAAGATCTCGAGCAGCTCCTGCAAGGCAAGCAAATCAAACGTTATCAAAGTGCAACCAAAAGCCAGCTGGAGGAGATACCCCGAACCGGCGCAAGGTATGAGAAATCCATTCTAAACTTCAATATGGTTCCATCTTAAATAAGGCATTCAAAATTGTACAAATACCAAGTTTGGTTTATCTAGCTCCTATAGTGAGGCAGAAGAAGCCATACCCCAAAATCGCGATATGAAGGAAGATATTGCAAAGCAGATTAACTCGTTTAAATATTTCCAAGTTTCATGCAGACGGACCTGGCTTGATGGACTCAGCATTTGCAATGGGTTCGGGTTATAAAAAGTCGAGTAGGGTCAGGTCTCAACTCACATAGAAGAGCTGCTTGTTGTACGCGGGATTCTGTAGAGCATCAAAGACCTTAAGGACACCCCGCTTGGCGGCCTGGGCGCCAACGAGATTGCACAGCACTTCGGGTATGTGATCCGTGAGCAGCGCCTTGGCCGCATTGGTGGTCATCTCCTTCATGTCATCGGAGCGTACGGGATAGGCCGAGGCAAGCACGCCGCCGGGCCAAAACGATTTCAATATGGCCGAGAAATAATTGTGCAGCATGGACTCCTCGAACAGATAGGTAACAGATTCGCGAATCTGTCTATTGATCGTCCGGCCATAGGTGATCTGCACAAACGAGATGATGCTCTTGCGCAGCCACTTGAAGACGCCGCCCATGTCGAAGATCTCGCCCATTAGCGCATACAGCGGCTCCGCAATCGAGTCTTTGCTATCCAAATCGGCCAGCAGCTTGGGATCGGTGCTCGTCTCGCCGTCCAAATAGTTGGACATGTCGTCATCATCGCGCTGCAGGCCCCAGAACGGATCGCTGGCCTTGCTCGAGTCGTGCGCCTTGGCCGCGTCGCTTTTGAAGAGCGTGGAGAGCGAGAATTTGGATTTCTTGGGCGAGGGCAGAGTCTGCTTTAAATGATCCGAGCTGGGGCTGAGAAATGTATAGATGGCCTCGCTGCCATTCAAATGGTCATCCTCCAGTATGAACTGTGCAATGGACAGCGATTAGCACAAATATCAAATATAAATATATATATATATATATATGTTCACATACATTCAAAAACTTTTGTATTTGACCCTTGGCCTTCTCCTGTGCATGCCGATCGGTCTTCAAGAAGAAGAACTTGAAGTTTGTGGGCAAATCGAGCGACTTCAAATTGGAGCTCACATGCCGCAGTTTACGTTGCAGCTCCTAAAGCAAATGATTGGATCAGGTTAAATGGGAATCAGCTGCCTGTTTGTGCGAGCGCACACTTACATGCACTTGGTTCAGGGAACGCATGACCACCCAGCCACTGGATATGCCCGAGGGACGACGCCTCTGCGCTCGGCCCGTGCTGCTTTCGCCATTCTTTGTAGCTGGCGGCGCATTGATATCCTCGTCCACGTGCACCAGGATCATGAACTGCAGCGATTCCTTCTCATCGGACACCTGGAAGGCAAAAACAAATCGATTAAATATAACATGAGCAGGAAGCTTTGGCAATTGCAGACGCACCTCAACACTTTGTATGGTGGCCTTCCATTTGCCCAGATGCTCGGTCCAGGCATCGGTGCGTCTTAAATGGGCCTCCGTTTGACGCTTCTCGCTCTTGAGCCAATCCATTTCCTTTTCGAGTATTTGCAGCACCTTCGATTCCGGCTTCACCGAGTATTTGAGCGCGTCCAGCGCTTGGTTCTTCTTATCGATGCGCTCCTGTATTTGCTCCAGCTTTCTGCGCGCATACGATGTGTGAGCAGCCACATCGATGGCCGCCGGAGCACCCCCGCCCCCATTGAGGCCATCGGCGACAATCGCCTGCTCGTCGTCGTTCGAATCGCCCAGCATGGTGGGGCACATCAGCAAGGTGGGATCGTTAAATTCGTTCGAGTCGAGCGCCTCCTTGAGCTGGCGATACTGATCGCTTAGCACAAACGGTGGATAGTATTTGTCCTCCAGGGTGCGCAATATATTGCGCTGTATATCATAGAAAATATCTGGACCGGCATCGCCCAGGACGAAGGTCTCGATGAGCTTGCGCTCATGCTTATCGATTTGTATCTCCGGCTTGGGCACGCGTATGTACGTATAAAAGATCTCTGTGCCCAGCTGATGTGTGGCCGATTTGTGCGCATGCTTCATCTCGTCGACGGCCAGGTAGAAGCCAACCAGGGCGCTGGCCTTAAGCGGCTCCAGGAACAGCGTGAAATAGCGTCGTCCCACGGCCGTGTTGAGTATCTCCATCAGCGTTAGATCCTGGAAGAGGCCAAATGTTAACTTGCTTCTTTTTTTTTTATAGATCAGAATGTTATTGGCTTACTGTGTCGCTGGAGTAGTTGCCGTTCCAGCCAAACTTGGCCAGATTCTTCTCGCATTGACCCTTGGCCAGCGACAGCTGCTGCACGTAACGCTTCAGCCGCACCGCGGCGGTTAGCTCCGATTTGGTCAGCGTATGATCCTCGGTATCCGGATCGAGGCCTTTGGCACGTTGCAAATTCTGCATGCTGGTCGCGTGCATCAGATCATTCACGATGCTTTTGCGTATCAGCGACAGCTCCTCCAGGTTGCCCGAATTGTTGATGATCTTCAGGAAATCCTCAAAGCTGGCAGCGTACTCGTAGCTGCGCTTACTGATCGCCGCCGCCGCCAGACGTGTCTCAATGTTCTGCACGACCTTCTGATTGATATAGTCCGGTGCGGTCAGCATTTTGATCATCGGAAAGAAGACTACAAAGGAGGAAAATGGAGGATTAGATTAAATTTGAACTACGTAAAGTAAAGTATATAAAATAATTTGTCCAGCCTAACATTGGAACCTACTCTTGAAGGAGAGTATCTCGCTGAGCAGCACCTTGAGCGGAGGCAGTGAGTAGCCGCGCGGCAGGAGCAGTATGATCATAATCTCGCATAGTTTGCGCAGAAACTCCATTTCCTTTTCCTCATCGACCAGGTACGAATTGGTGCTGAACACCGGAGCGCTATTTGTTTCGGCCCTGCAAATAGTTGAAATCGAAATTAGGCTGCAATTTTGGGTTCTTTTTGAGCTTACGCGCGCGACTCGGCAATGCGTATCTTTTCGAGATGCACTGTGACGCGATTGACCATGTCGACGGCTATGATTTTGGCCGGGTCCATTTTGGCGGCACGTTCGTGTATCTTCTGTATGGCATTCCACAGATCCTCGCGTATCACATCGTTGATAAGCTTTGGCTTTGTCACAACATATCTGCGAAATGGACATCAAATCAAGTCAGAATGGATACGGATGTGGTTTAAGTGTAGTGATACCTACCCCAGCCAGGGCACCATAAAGTCACGCAGCACATACTCGATGATCTGCTGTAGCTGCAGATCAACTGTCTTGCCAAAGATTAGGGGTAAATTCGAAGGATTCTTAATGGGATTTGGCAAATCGAAGATGTTGCACCTGCAATATAATATATGGTATACGTGAGAACATGCCACGGATTAAGGGTGCTCGGCCGGTATACTCACTTGGTGGCATTGTAGAGCAGCTTGGAGGGATGTCGATTTGGCTTTGTGGGCTCATTGGTCGTAAATATATAATAGATATAGACGGTGCCAGCGACAGCTGTTGGGATAGCCAAAGGGTTAATAATTAAAAAGTCAAAACAGCAAGAGAAAACTAATCGGCTGCCCGACTAAAAGATACCCTGCACGCCAGCTTCAGGCGTGATTAATCTAAGTCTTGCAATCTTGACGGGAACGGGAAAAGACTAGTCAAAGTGTCTCTTTAAGACATGCCCGACTAGAAGATACCCTGCACGCGGCATAAGTTGTGATTAAGTTCGATGACTGCCATACAATCTTGCTGGGAACGATCGGAGGCTATCCAAAAAGTGGATTGGTGTATGCAAAGGGAATGTTGTTCCTTTAAGACGCGATCGATAAACAGTAAAACGATATTGATTCTTATCGATTTCTTGGAAACGGTACAATGCCTGGCTTAACCCTTGATATATATAGACACCTCATGGGAACGGATATACCTCGTTCTGTGCGTTCATTATACCCTTTTAGGCATTTTCAATGGGTTCAGAGTTTGGAAACCGATTAAAGATAAATTTTTAATTAACGATTTTAGTGGAATATGAAAGACATATTAATATATTATATGTATATGTATGTGGAATATGACCGCAAGCAGATAAGATGTGAGTCATGGCCAGATTACGTATATGGATTTGCTAGCTGTAACTGATAACTGTGGAGTATTCTCGACTTACCTGCAAAGACCAGCACCAGGGAGTAGATGACGAACGCGAAGAATAGAAAAAGTGTTGGATAATACCAAATAACGGCCAAAAGCGTCGATGCGATGCCCGAAATGATAATCTTCCAGTTTAATTGCAGTGCACGTAGCGAGCTGAAAAAAAAGCGAAAAAAACACTAATACTAGGAAACTGGCAGCAAATATGATGAACAAGTGTGGCAGGAAGCATGCCGATTCTATAAATAATAATGACAAAAACACCCCCGCCCAACCTTGCACTTATGCATTCCTCACTTGGAGACACACACACACAGACATATGGATTAATGTAAAGGATACACACACGACACGCATCTAATGCTAATGCTAATGCAGCGTCTCCACTTACCGCGTTGCCAGCAGCGTTAGGCGCTGTGTGGGCGTTGTTGGCGGCTCTGGTTCGATGGGAAACAATGGGCGGCGTCGCTCCATAACGGCCAGCTGTTTCACTCCTTCAGTGTGTGTGTGTGTATGCGTGTGTGCTGGGCTAGTGGCTTACAATAACTGTTATTATTGCTGTTGTTGCTTCTGCTTTTTTGTATTTGAATATTTGATGCGTTTTGTACATTTTTGACGTAGTCGCGACGCGCATTGCTTCTTGCTTAATTTGTAGCTGTTGTTGTGGCTTTTGTCATGTCGTCTGGGCCACTATTAAAAATAGTTCTCTATAACCACTTCCGTCACCCCCATGCCCGCGCCCCCACGCCCACGTAAACGGTACGCCCAACGCCCTTGCGCTTAATGTCCGAAAAGTGACGTCGTTGTCGTTGTCGTCGTCGTTGAAGCACTTTTATTTGATCTTGGCTTGTGGGTACAAGGATCATACAGCATCAGCGTCTCTTTTATGGCAACAAGTGGACATTGACAAGCGCCGAAGGGGCGGCGCGGCTAACGATAAGTGATAAGAGCGGCGCAGCGAATGCTGCCTGCAGCTCTGCATCCATAAAATCGTTGCTGCGGCTGCTGCTTTTTCTTGTTTCTGTTATAGTTGTTGTTGTTGCTGTTGTTGCTGCCACTGCTGCGTAGATAATAACAAATTGGAATTTGACTTGGCGCGTTCGTTTGGTGGTCAAGCGGCGTAAGCGTAATTATTCATAGCACGGCGTTCACTTCCACTTTCAATCACAATCACAAATACAATAAATGCAAAATCAAAGTTCCCGACTGTATTGGTGCCCATTGGGTTTGTTGATTTCGTATCGATAACGATAACATGGATTATGTATTGCAGCATCGGCTCGATATGTTTGAATGGAATTAATCGACTGGCCGCCACGCGACCGATAAGTTTGGCTGCGTTTAAACAAAACACAGCCGTTAAGCTAAAAAGTCTCCAATTTATTTCTGTTGCAAAACTAACAATACTTGATTGAATTTGAAAACATTTACTTAGTTATTGGTATTGGTACAAGTTTTTTTCTTCTAAATATATATGTATATATATATATATATATATATAAATGGCGGCACATGTGGCAGGCATCATCATTTAGCATATACGCGTGCCCCCTCCTCACGGGCGTTTCGAGACGTTGCGTTTCTTTCTACTACCCAAAACCGTTCCCAACCCAATCAAACCGTTCACAGACTCTAAATGGCATCAACAAGTTTGCACACTTTTGGATTTGATATTAAGATAGCTATTGCTCCTTAGCTAGGCGCCGCAGGGCACGCTTGCGTGTACCTAAAATATTCTTAAGAACTTCGTTTCTGGCAAATTGATCACCGAACACGGCCTCTGTAAAATGTATGACCAATTGAAGCAATGCATGTGGTAGATATCCGGCGGTTTGTGTGGCAATGCCGAGTGTGGCCAATGCAGATTTTACATACGTTTCGGGCGAGGGCGCAAACACGCTCGGCTTACGTATCTTGGACATGTTCGTGGCAACAAAGCCCGGCTGCACACTCTGTATAATAATGCCGTGTGTTTTATACTCCGTCTGCAGATCATCGCTGAACTTGTTCACGAATGCCTGCCAAGCACAAAGAAGCGAAATTAATAAATGTGCTTTCCACAACGTGAAAGAGCTATAATCTAGACGGATAAAGCTTGTCGTGCTGATCAAGTTGCTACCTACGGCCCGTTTGCCTCACCTTTGTGGCGCTGTAGACGCTCAGCAAGGGATTGGGTATCACGCCCGCCGTTGATGATAGATTTATGATGACGCCCTTGCGCTTTTGCACCATGGCCGGCATAAAGAGGGCGGTCATGTGCGTTACGGAATGTATATTGGCAGCGACAATGTTGCGCAGAAACTTCGGATCCGCATTGTAGCAGTCCAGAAAATATTCCGGATGGCTGTAGCTGATGCCCACATTGTTCACCAGCACACCCACGTCCAGGCCGGCAGTTTCTGTGCGTATCTTCTCATAGATTTCCATGCCGCCCGTGAAGTCCACATCGATGACGCGCACCTCCACGCCAAACTCATCGCCTGCAAGTATGCCACACACACGCACATATTTCCAATAAAAAAAAGCCTGGCTTTAACACGCTAATTTCAAATCTTACCAATTTCCTTGGCCACGGTCTTCAGCTTTTCCAACGAACGACTAATCAAAACCAGTTTCAGCCCTTTGCGTGCCAGCTGCAAAGTTTTAAATAGGCGAGTTAAAGTAAAGTTTTTATTTTTATATTAAAAGGATCCACAGATCCGGCAAATACTTATCCACACTTGGGCATACTTTAAGGCTGAACTTTTGAATTGAACGCCAAGCGAAGATTAGATTATGCCCAACTTTATATAGTAATTGCTAGGAATTCTGATTCTAGCAATTCTATATATAACTAGTTTGAGACCCCGTAAAAATCTATACCTGAACTCTGTAGGGTGCTTAGGGAAATTCTTCTTATAAGTATATGGGCTCTATTCTTTAGAAGTTTGAACGTTGTACAAAGTTTGCAGGTTCGAACCCGACATTAACCCTGAACCCGTTGCCTAGATTAACAGTTGTTATGAGTCTCGAACCTGGTTAACGAATTGAACCTTAAGGGAAAGCGTGAATGCACAAGTTCAAACCCGGTAGATTCTGTATTAAGCATGAGCCGAACCCTAATATGGATAGCGCTCCGGTTTGAGCCGAACCTTAAAGGGAGGCATGAGTGCGAAGCGTGATCCGAATTATCTAATAATTATATTGTGAATGACAGTAAGGCACCAGTTGCAACGTATGCTCAGTTAAGAGCTCCATAAATTGTTTCTTTAGTCTCTCGCCAAATGGGAGGTGGATCAGTTCACAGAGTCGAGGTAAGACTGACCTAGCCTAAGCTGAGGAATCCCTAGAAGAGTCCAGCTGTGCCCACTGTGCCATGAAATCAAAGAGACATTTCGTGAATTATGTGTGCGACAAATAGTTTGCTTATCAAAGAAACTCGTTTAACTTACTGATAGTTAAAAGTGTGCGTTAATTTGTAATATAGATAAGGATTGATTTATCAAACATTCCGCAGTTCTGCTCGGGCTTTAAACATGCATATATATAGGGGTAGGGTTATGCGTCCAAGACCTAATTGAACTATGAAACTGAACTTCTGGCGATCCCGCGACTACACACACGGCTGTACATTAGAGTTTAGTCGGTGCTCTTTAGCTTTTTAGCATACACGAAGCAAAAACAAATACCATTTGATAGGCACAACAAATGCTAATGACAAAGGAAAATGCAAACCCAGACGGAGCACTGACTGAAGACGTAGCCAGGCGTTAGATCGATGGGCGGCTAGATATATCACAAGTCTTTATGCCCTTGTGTGGGCTAATATACTTTTGTTATGTGTATCCACAAGCCCTAAAGTATATATATATAAAGATATTCTTGATCAGGAGTCTTTGTCTTAAGCTAACGTCCAGATACAAGAGATACAAGAGTTCTGCCTCACATATCGGAGCGAGTTCTTAGCAAGAGCGGATTATTATATCATATGCCACAATGGGAAGTATCGCCCCGCTCGGCTGCCTTATAGGGTATAATAGCTTCGGCGTGTTGAAGAGCACGGCTAGTTGTTTATTTTGTTCGTGTTCAAAGTTCCGGGGAATTGAAAACAACAGCTGTTCCCCCGATTTGTGTAGCCAACTGGACGTTGACACATGCAACCGAACCAGAAAATGTGCTGAATATTGCAATATCAACAAAGTTCTAGGGCTTGTGCACAAACACACAAACACACAGCTTAATAAAAGTATTTGCCGAACTGACAAAACTGTAAGCTGGAAAGCTGAAAACTGAATGTGGACTGTGTTGGGTGTTGCACTTAGCTGCTTAATGGATAATTAGCACTTGACTAAATTGCAATAGCGTGCATTAGCGTATAGAAAGCTGGAGGAACTATATATAGCCCACAGTCCATAGATATATAGATATAGCTAGATATAGATATGTTCAAGTCATTCGCGCTAATGTTTGGTACCTGGCTACAAATTCAATCGTTAATTGCACTTTTTCTCCGCCTCTTCTGCTTTTTTGTCCAATTGGTCAAGTCATTATGGATTTTGCAATGCAAAAACAAAAATCATAGAAGATAATAAATTAGTAAATAAATCTTTGGCATGCCGAAGCTAAAATACCCTTGACGAAGTCAATTGCTGACCCTGAGAAACAAGAGAACTCAATCTACGAAAGATTCTGCCTAGTCCAAGATCTGCCTAGGCTAAGATATCGCCTCCGACTATCGATGCTGATCAAGAATATATATATACACTATAAAGGCCTCCTCCTAGGCGTTAGACACATGGCGATCAACTCATAATACCCTCAGCAACAGATGCACAGCTGGGAGTACATGAAATCTAGAATCGGATTCGCCCTTCCGTTTTGCTGTGCTGCGTGTGCGTCGTACATACCTCCCGGGCATAGGCCTTGCCAATGCCATCCGTCGAGCCGGTAACAACTGCAATATACGAATTATAATCAAGATGAGTAAGGGTACGATTCTTATCAGCGGCTGGCACAAAGTTCAAATGCAGTCACACACTTACCTGCCCATTCGCCCATCTCGGCCAGATTGACCGAGGAGCCGCACAGCCTGGGTCCCAACACATTCGCATAGATCCAGGGCAACACCTTGCGGCATATCTGAAAGCCGACAATGCTCATGGCAATGCCACCCAAAATGCTCAATAGACGCGAGTGCTCCTCCATTGCACACACAATTTGAATTCAAATTCCCAAATTTACAGTAAACAAATCGCCGTCGTTGTCGCTATCGTTGCTGTCGCTGTGGACTCCGTTGGCTGCCTGAATGCTTGTCGTTGGGAAGCTCGGTCGATTTGCTGCCGCTGTCGCTGTGAACTGCGCTGCTGGCGTCGTCAGTGTATTGGTTACTTGGGGCTACGCTCTGCTCTGCCCTCTCCGGCAGAGTTCGTAAATTGAATTTTATAAATTCACTGAATGTCTCTGGGCATTAAATTTGACGCGGCGTAATTCGCTGTTTAATATTCAAAAACAGTATGGCGCGCGTTGCTGTTGTGCATAGAAAAAGGAGAGCGAAGAATTTTCTTTTTGATTTTGCCAGCTTTAATTATGGGCTGCGAGCAAATCTATATGAAAATTGAAGAAATTACTGCATGAAATGTCAAAGGCGGCACGGAATATGAAATGAACGGTTCTTTTTTGACGACTGAGCATTATTGTGTGCGTGTGTGTGTGTGTGTGTGTGCTCGGCTGCGAGTCGTGCTCTCACGATTTTTGGCTCGTCATATCGCACCACCACCACCGCCAATGGCAACACTAAGCGATAAGGGGGCACATCTGCTCGGCATATGCCACACATACACACGCTCACACAAACACACACACACACGCACAGTTATGCTTGCTCTCTGTGAAATGGCACATGCGCAGGAAGAAGTCGCAGCAGCAGCAGCAGTACCTCGAATTAAACCGATGACGATATTTTTTGGCGCGCTCAAAATGCGGATTTGATTTCTAGTGTATGCGTGTGTGTTTCGCTGTTCGAATTTTGGCGAGCACTTATCGAATGAAGTTCTGTATAGTTGTTTGTTGGAAATGTTTGTGTTGCTTAACGGACAAAATGTCACAAAACTTCCATGACAGCTAGCAAGGCGAGTCCTATGCTTAGTGTTGCCTAACTGCAACAAAAGCACGCTAGATGGCGTAGCCGCTCAGACCAAGTGTTGCATACGTCTGGGCTGTTGCTATATAATATAAGCTATCAATTTAATATGAATAAAAACGTATAATTTAATATAAATAGCGGCACATTCTATGTAATAAGTTGTATAAGCTGTTTTGCTTTGAGTCGATTGATGCAGCCTCTTCAGAGTTTGCGAGTCTGGCAACTCCGTGTGCAGTTGGCGCCCCTTTCGGTCAAATCGCAGCGTTCATCTCTGCCGTAGAGATAAAAAAAAAAAACGAGAGACAACGAGGAGGAGCAATTGGCAGAACGCGTAATTGGCAAACGGGATACGAGTCCTGGTCTCCGTTAGTCTCGTGTCAATTGCGTGCGAACCAACAACGTTGTCGGCACCGGCAAATGCAACATGGGCATAGATATTATGATATCATTAAAAGTGAGCAATTCCGTGTGAAAATATGAAAACAAGCAATTATTTGGTTTTTCTTTTTTTTTTATCAATTGTTGTAAAATGAATGTAAAATGAAAAGCGAACTAGTTGGCCTATAAATATATATGCTTGTTCTTCCGAGAGTGCATTAACATGTTTAACGTTTGCAGTACAAAAGAATTTGCATAAAATATGTTCACATACTTGTAAGTGTCATAAACTGGCAATCAAATGTTTCATATCGAGAATCTTGAGAGCCCATTAAACGCTGCTGCGGCGTTCTCTGATTGGAGCAGCTTGAGATAGGCCAAGCGCAGAGCGCGTGCCATGCGCACATTGCATCCTGACCTACATTCCAATTATTGGTCATCTAAACAGCAGCCAAGTAGAGAGAGAGAGAGAGAGAGAGAGAAAAAAAAAAAACAAAACGAAGTAAAATATAAAAGAAAAAGAAAACCAAGACAAATACACACGCACACGCACACGCAACTACATAAACTGCTGGAAGCTGCCTAATAAACGTTTTCTCGTCCTCGCACAGTGAATTGTTATCAATCGACGCAAAAAGAGAATCAATCCAAAATACGAGAATCCAATATGCTGAGCTGCAAGCTATAAAGAAGACGATTTCGTTGCATTGAGAGCTACTCACGGGCAGAAGAAGGCAAATAAGTCCAATTGGAAAAGGCAGCGCAAACAGTTGTGAGCTATACGAAAGATGTTTCTGATTAGCTAAAAGACAAAAAGACAGACAGAGAGTGCGAGAGAGAGAGAGAGAAGAGTAAAACAACAATTTAATTGGATTCGAGTACATTTATGCTGCGGTGAGTTTTCGACTTGATTCATTTCTTATATATATTGATTCATTCGTACATGGAATTGCAATTGCAGTGATGAAATCTAGATTATTTTGGATATTTGCAATTATATACTCGTCGCTGCATCACATAGGTTCCGGATCCACCTCGACGACATGTAAGTACTTATCTTAAGCAACAGTTCCCTACCGTGTGCCCATTCGAGCTGATCTCTACGTTAATCTGCCATAACAAAACTTGGCTTAGTTGTTTTCCTTTGGCTACAGATAGCGTATATATTGAAACCAATCAGATATCTTCTGTATCTTCCTCTACATCCACGATACAAAGTAAAGATATAGCATAAAAGACTTGTTTCCACTTAACATATTTTCTAAAAGATTGTCAAGTTTTAACAAAAGCCGTTGCCTTTATAGCTCTTAGGGTTTAGCTTGTACGCTAAACATCAATCAATCAGTCAATCAGTCTGTCAGTTAATCCGTCAATCAATCAGTCAATCAATTAGTCAATCAATCAGTTAATCAATCAGTCAATCATTCTGTCAATCAATTAGTCAATCAATCGGTCAATCAGTCTGTCAATTAATCCGTCAATCAATCAGTCAATCAATCAATCAATTAGTTAATCAATCAGTCAATCAATCGGTCAGTCAATCAATCCGTCAATCAAACAGTCAATCAATTAGTCAATCAATCCGTGAATCAATCAGTTAATCAATCAGTCAATCAATCCGTCAATCAATCGGTCAATCAATTAGTCTTTCAATCAGTCAGTCAGTCAGGATAATAATGTACAAAGCCCCAGATACTTGCAACTATTCTCACATTATAAAATCCCTTCCAGTGAAACGTCCCCGAGCTGGAGATCCATTTGATACCTTTCCGAAAAACTTCTGGCAAGAGTTCTCATCGCCCTTCACAGACACGCCCGAAGATGAGGAGCTGGAGGTTACCGAGACGACAACGCACGAACCGTTCCCATTCTTCGCCGATCCGTATACGACCATCAATATAAGCACCCAGCTGTCGTCGAACGTGTATCTGCACTGCCGGGTGAACGATCTGCAGGGGAAGACGGTCTCGTGGATGCGACGCAAGGGCGAGGATCTGACCCTGATCACGTTTGGCCAGCACACATATAGCGGCGATTCGCGATACTCGCTGGAGTTCGAGGAGCCCAACGACTGGAAACTCTTGATACAATATGCCAACGAGCGCGACGAGGGCCCCTACGAATGCCAGGTCTCCTCGCATCCGCCCTTGGTGCTCCTCGTATACCTAACTATAATTGGTAAGCACTTGATTCTCCCCCCTCCAGATCGAGCTCTTATGAATTGTTGCAGTTCCTCATGTGGAAATTCTCGATGAGCGAGGATCGGCCACGCCGGAAAAATACTACAAGGCTGGCAGCACCATTGAGTTGCAGTGCGTCATCTCCAAGATACCGCATCCAACGTCATATATCACCTGGCGTCATGGTCTCCGTTTGCTCAATTACGATACCAGTCGCGGCGGCATTAGGTATGTGTTCCAACCAAAAACCCGGTTCGAACCAGCATTCATAATTATTGGCCAAGCGAGTTCGAACCGGCTTGCTGCTGATTTAACTAACCCCCATGGTCCCAACTCCTTTTAGCTATATACACAAATTTCGCTAAGCATCATTTTTATATCCTCCTTACACAGCGTTAAGACAGACATGTTGCCTGGCAGGGCCTTGAGTCGTCTCTATATCGCCAATGCGAATCGTCATGACACCGGAAACTATACCTGTATGCTGGGCAATGAGATAACGGAAACGGTTGTGGTGCATGTGCTTAATGGTAAGTTAAGAAACAGCTTCAAAAATCAAGAAACGTTCAGATTAGCTGAACTGCATGTCAAAATTTATCAGGCAGTATATTTAGCTGATAAGAGTATCGAACAATGTTGCCACATCAGTTGAGCCAAAGGCGCCACTAAACAGTGTTGGTTAACAGTTAACACTGTGGCGCCTGACAAAGCGTTGCCACCCAGCTAAAGAAAGCTGCTAACATGAACTTTGCCAGGAGGCTGAGTACATTTTAAAGCATATTTATTTGCGATTTGGTGCATAAAATAGTTGTTGTTGTTGTTGTTGTTGTCTGTTCCAGGTGAAGAGCCAGCTGCAATGCAACATGCGAATGGGACTCGATTTATATCCAGCCCTCTAACTATGGTTGTGTTTTTTTTGGTATTCGCGATAGTCAAACCGTTTCAGCGATGACAACATTGTGAATGGCCTATAAAAATATAAAAAACAAAAAAACAAATGAAGAAAAATAAGAAAAACTTTAATAAACTTAGACGAAGTGAGAGCGACAGAAGTATTATGGGAAAATGCATAAACCAAAATAAGAATCTTGTCCAGGATTGCATTTTCAACTTTTACTCTAATCATGGGTTGTTTAAAAATACACATAGCATAATTGAATACTAATTGTAGGCTTAAGAGAGACATGTATTTAAACAAAACGAAAAACAAAACCAAAAAAAGGGCGGATCAGAAAACAAAAAGGTCGTAGATAAGGGCGTACGAAGGAAGGAGAACGAAAAAAAAAAAGAAAACTAACCTAAAAATTGAGTTTTGCAATTGAAAATGAATTCATTAATTGTACAACAAAGGCCGTGTTTTTTGTTGGCTAACGTACAGATCCCCCCTTCCCCACCCCCTCCCCACTCTTTATATAGCTTGTTTATAGTTATTATTGATTAATGCCATTATATATGTACATAATCCTTCATGTTGATGGTTGTAGCTTCTTTGAAATCGAACGGCATATCAGTTGGGATCACATTGGAAACATTCTTGGATGCAATTTGTTATAAACAAATAATAATATACAAGTTAAGACCCATTTACTTTCCGCTGTCCGAAAAGGAACAAAAAAAAATCTTTGAAAATTATATATATTTTAATTATTGAGCAGATATAGATATGAGTACTTGTTACGCTGATACTTAGACCAAGAGAACAAAAAAAAATCATTATGTCATTTAAAATGGATACACATATCCTTTAATTTAACAAATTGTTGTTGCTTCGGAACCAAAATGAACATTTTTCAAACAGACAACCGAGCGACGAGATTAAACACGGACCAATCGGTTAATTCAGAATGATTTTCACAGTTCACGACTTTCTTTGATTGGGGCATTATCATTATCCGATTTGGTATAGATATATATATATATATAGAAAAGATTTCGGAATGTGCTTGGCCGCTTTATAAAACTTGCTTGCATCATTATTGTTGTATATGGAATTCCTAAATCCGCTCATTTTTTTACTCCCATTTTCTAAACATATACTAAGAAATCAAAAATCAAAAACAAAACGAAAATTCAAAGAAACTTAAAGCTCAGCTTAAACTACACAAAATTAAATGTTAAGGATAAAACATATAAATATAAAGAGAAAAAGTAAACTCGGCTAATTTCGAATGGTCCACAGTAGTTATTGTAAATTATTCAATTGATCCCAACCAAACCGCGGGTTGGTTTATTTTATGGTGTATGCCCTTAAATACAAAACAAATGTTGGAGTGAGATAACGAAACAATACTTAGAGACTAAAGAAAAGTGACGAAACTTTTAGAAGCATTTTGGTTACAGAACAAATATTTAAGAATTATTACAAATAATTGATATTATGATAACTACATAAATATTTATGTATGCGGCCAATGTCAATGTCAATGTCAAATGCCGTCATTAATATAATAATGCAGAAATTGTATAAGCCACACAGACACACACACACACGCACACTTACACACTCACACATTTGTTTTTTCTATTAAAAAAAAAAGAAAAGAAAAGATAACTTCAATTCCATTTATGTAGTTTTCATTTACAACGCAGAACCAAATAAAGAATCTATATGTATTTGAATTGTATTCAAATAGTCGTTAAATTATCGTTAGCTTTCTTCTTATCGATAACTTGTGATTTGTTCCGCAGCGATATTAAGTATGCCAACGATAGTACTCTGCCGATAGGTATCGCTCATATCGATTTGATACTGTGCTGATAATTTGCAGTGGCGCGAAATTTGAAAAATGTATATCCCTCAGTAAAATGCATAAGATTTTAAATGGATTAAATTCATACTTACAGTTGGTTATTTTCAATTTAGTTTTTATTTGAAATTTAATCTGACAAAGTGTTATTTAATGCCAGAATAAAACACTTGTAGCGCAACCTTGTAGTTTCGTGAGTGCCCACGATTAATCGATAGGCAATGCACTTGGCGTGCGTTATCTTGTGACTGCATTGGCATGCCATAAAAGATGCACACACACACGTGCAGCAGGCATATATGCATGTGTGACGTAGATAAAGAGTGCAATGGACAAACAATAACCTTTTCTACAGGTCGCACGTGCTCGCACAACGCTCATCTCTAATGTGCCGTGTTTTGGCTGGCTGCCAGTTAGACTTTTGCCAATTGGAAATCGCTTTTAATGCTGCCCAAGCCAAAGAAGTACATAAGCTGTCTGTATGAACATTTCGGCCTGAGCGCGTTCAAGCCGCTGCAATGGAAGATAATGCGCGCCCTGCTAGTCCAGCCCCGCGGCGGGGATGTGTGCGCGGTAATAGCCACCGGCTATGGCAAATCGCTGACCTATCAGTTTCCCGCCTTTTATCTGAACAAGGTGGTTGTGGTTATATCGCCGCTAATCGCGCTGATGGAGGATCAGGTGAACGCGCTGAATCAGAAATCGAAGACGGGTGAGCCGTGCGCCTGTCTGCTGGGCACCGCCCAGGAGGATCGCGCCATTAAGGAGCGCATTCTGGCGCTGCAATTCAAATTGGTGTACGCAACGCCGGAGTACATAACCCGCGGCAATGGGCTGAAAATGTTGCGCGATCTGGGCGACAATCTGGCGCTGATTGCCATCGATGAGGCGCACTGCATCTCGAAGTGGGGCCACGAGTTTCGGCCCGCCTACCGTCAGCTTAGCCAGCTGCGTGCGGCTGTGCCGCAGGTGCGTCTACTGGCGCTGACCGGCACGGCGACGCTGCGTGTGCGCCGCGACATCTGCGAGCAGCTGCAGATGCGCCGGCCGCTGCTGCTGTGCAGCGGCCTGGATCGACCCAATCTGGAGCTGACGGTGCGCCCAAAGGGCGCCCAACTCTGGTCCGATCTGCAGC